AATATAAAGTGACATTCTACCACAAAAACATATATATGATAAAATATCATTTATCTGCTTTGGCAGGAAATGAGACCTGCAAGCATCACAGCCGGACAAAATATTACAATTTAACTAATTCCTAATACTTATTCAATATGATTCCTAATACTTATTTCTAATTTCTTATTAAAAGAAAAAAAAAAGAAGAGCATCATTGCCAAGAAATAAAACCCAACACTTCTAGCTGCAGTTTCAAAAGTAGGGTAAGTATGTAAACAAACAGATTTGCCAAAACTGTGTGGCTATGATTCCAACACAAGAAACACAAAGTTAAAGAGGCATACAAATTTTTGATATTTCCTGAGCTGATGCTGAAAATAACTTACAGGAAAGGGCTGCTGTTGACACATATAAGTCCCAACCCCCACCAACTGCACAATCTTATCTATGACATGACAACATGGAAATGCTCATTAGGGCTGTTAATGTAAACGCTAATTATTATATTAAAGTCCAACAATACCACCAGATGGTAAATGCAACCAAAGAAAGATGTCTTCTAGACTAGGGTTGATGATTTATAATGCAAATGCCACAACTGGATTTCACAGGACTTGTAACGCCATTCCGCAGCTCTTTATGCCCAGTGTCATGTTTGAAATGAGAAGAAACAAATGAATAAACAAAAAACGTATTTCTTTCCTTCACCAGAGATGAGGGTATACTGATTTAATTAAAAAGAAATAATTTTGAGGTTTATTTTATTTTGAATTCTGGTTCTTAAATATGACCAAAAGATATATCCACACGTGTCAAGTGACAGGGACTTCTGGGCAAAGTTTCAAGGGACAGTAATTCACATTTCTGATTCCATCCACTTCCTCTCCTTAGTCCTCAATCTCGCTTTTTCCCCCAGAGCACCACTAAAATTGCCCTTACCAACATTAAAAAACCTCCTAAATGCTAATCTAATCATGTACATTTAAAAAGCCTTGATACCACCTCTGCAAGGTTGCCTTTAATGCCCTCCCTATGCAGGATACAACTTAGACAAAGACAACTCTGATAAAAGTTGGATTAGTAAAACCAATTGTCACTTCACTGGGCAAGTTCCCTGGAAGTAGGCACCCCTTTTCACCTTTGATGCATGGTGCTTGACATATGGTCAATATCTATGGAATAAATAAATTAAGGGTTTGCTGGGTTACCTAGGAAAACCCAATTATCATACTTTTTCTTTGAAGTGCCTATAATAAGAACAAACTAAAACAACACGGAAAAAACCTGGAATGTTTCCAGGGAGAGTTTTCTTTATAGGATCAAGAAAGTTGCCTCAATTTCAAGGGGGAAATTCCAACATTTGGAGACTATTATTAGTATTTTACTGATTTGTCTATAACCCTTTAATATCAAAAGCCCAAATTTTAGTAATTTCTCTATGAACATCAAACTTCTTAAGTAAAAATAATAGTAAATGGCAGCACTCATCACCTGCATACTAATGAGATAGAAAGGCCCATTGCCTGCTAGTTGTTTTAGGTCTATTATATCTGAAACATTTCAGGGAAGAGGTGTCACAACTGTATCCCAAACACACCGGAATACTCCAGAGTTGCTTACAATCTTAATATCAACAAAAACTGCCTTTGAGAATTCACAGCACTAACCAAATGACCAAACTGGCGACACTTAAAGGTGCTCTTTCTGCAGCCAAGGGAACTTCCCTTCTGCCATCCTTCCTCTTCAGATTTAGCTGTTCCTCCTTCCCCACTCTGGGGTTTCCCAGAGCCACTCCTTACACTCCTATCCTGCTCTACTCCTCCAGTTTCTTCTACTCACTCTTGCCTGGGGTCAAAAACTCAATTAGCAGAATCAGGCAGTTAGCAAAGGAATCTGGGAGGGAAAGAGAGAATGAACAGGAATAATGAGAAGAGGAGGTAAAGAAATTCACTGCCTACTAATTCCCAGCCATCCCACCCCACCCTGCCCTTCACCTTATCAGTCCCAAGTCTTCCTCACAGCCGGCCCAGCCCCAATTTCCTCATTCTTCCTTAGTTACCTCAACCTTTCCACAAACCCTGGGGCCTGACTCTGTGGATTTGCTCAACACATGCTCAACCCCAACCAGAGAGGATAGCAAATCACCTGCATCAGGGTGGGGAAGAGAGGCCCAGACAGTAATGGCTAATGTAATTTGGGAGCTAAAATGAGACCTTTACCACTATCTCAAACTGTTTCTTTGGGAAATATACTGAGATCCAAATTATCATGAGCTTTTAGAACACAACCATATTAGGAATTGGGGACTGCTTACAATTGTTTCCTGATAAATTATAAACATGTTATAAAATTATAAATGTTAAGCTGTTGGATTTATGAAACATCTATATTCTAAAAAAGGTGGTCATATGAGCCACCCCCAAGCTTGCCAAAAGACCGTTTACTAATTCAGAAGTGGTTGGTTTTATTTGTAGACTCTGTAAAACTAAAGATTCTCTGTGAACCAGAACTCTGACCCACACTTTCTTCCCTGAGGGCTGAGAATCCCTTAAAGCTGCGGTCCCCAACCCACGAGTCCAGCACCCCACCCTATCCCTGTTGAAAAATTGTCTTCCATGAAACCAGTCCCTAGGTTTCATGGAAGACAAATGAAAAGACAAAGGTTGGGGGCCAATGCCTTAAAGACACTCTTCTGACGACTCCCAAAGAAAAATCTTAAACTGGATTCATTTGCATCTTTTCTTATCATTTAAGAACCCCAGGGAGAGTATTGGATTTTGTCTTAATTATTCCAAGGCACAGGGATATTTTCAAGAGCCAAGACTACCAAATAGGATTTCCACTCGGATCCTCTCAGCTCACTAGAAATGTATGCCCATCTGCTCATTTATCTTACTCCACAGCTTTCCAGGTGTCCTTGTGAAGGCTTGGATTTTGCTTTCTCTCAATGTTTACAAAAGGAACAACCTCCCAGGCAATACTGTGAGTCTGACCCTGTGACTGAGGGCTTTTGATTCAGCTGGCACACTCTAAGAGTCTCAAGCCTGTTCAGAGAGCCCTACTCCAGGCCTAAATAAAAATCTCCATGGAAAGTGAAATTCAAAAGCAGAGCTCATTCACCCTTCACAGCCTGCAACCTGTCCAAAGCTGCCCTCGGTTTCCTGTGGCCTCCAGAAAGAACTATCCTTATGAATGCCATCCAGCTATACTGGCTGGCTGTGTACATGAACCCCTCCTAACCAGCTCCCCCCCAGTTGAGCCGCAGAACCCTAACTGCATAAGAAGCATACCAGATAAAGAACAAGTTCTAGAAGTCACGAGATAGTAGTAAAAGCTTACGATTTACCTGATAGCCAACAGGAAACTCACCCTAATGGCCAAACCTCCAATTTCAAGAAAAAAAAATTATTTTAGTCAAGGACAGTAGTAAGTATATTGTGAAGAAGCCAATGTACAAATAATACACAAAAGCACGTTAAATCTGCATGAAAACAGACCATGAGGGTAGAATTAAAAAAAAAAAAAGCACGTTAAAAAGAAGACAGTACCAATAAAATTGTTACATGGCGAGAACAGAATCCATGAAAATACAATTTAAAAAAAAGTTGGATATTTATGCCAAGGAAGGGGCTTTTTTGCCTAGGTATTAATGTTCAGGGAGCAACAGATGTAAACAGAATGGAGTTAGCTATGAGACAAATTAGGCAAGGGAGGAAAGTAGCCTTTTATAGGTAAAAGGAGGAAGGGCAGAGAGGATTATAAGTAAAGAAAAATGCTAGGAGTATCTGACAGTTAAAAGAACTTAAAACAATTAACTTTATTTACTTGGTACACTGACTTGTTTGACAATTTTATTTATTCAATTCACCCAATTATGTATGCTTTTTTGAAGCCCAACTATTGCCAGGCATGTGAGTATTTCTACAAATGTCACATATTAAGACCTGAGTACTCAAAGGCCTGAAGTTAGTGGGCTAAGAATAATCCGAAGCCTTCAAAAAGAGTCTATGTGCTTTTTTGTTAAACACAAAATAAACACTTGAAATACAATGCACAGGCTACCTTTGTGGCTATGGAGAGGGAAGGAAGCAGCTGCAGTGGTTGTTTCCTTTGCCTCTTTTTCATTCATTCTCTCACATACCCAACCAACAACTACTGATTGTCTGTCTACTGGGCCCTTGCTTACCCTCATGCCAGGATGAAAAGATATGACTAGAACTCTTCAAGGAGCTTCAAACTGAACACAGAACATCAGACACACCAATAAATAATTATACCATAAGACAGACTGAGATTAAAGGATATCAGAGCATAACTGGGTGGTCAGAATAGGAAATAAACACTTCCTGCTAGGTAAACCATAGAAGCTTCATGAAACCAAAGACTGATGAGCTAGACCACCAAGGATGGGACAAGATTTTAATACGAGGGATGGAGTAGGCACTCCATAGGTAGAAAGTGCATATACAAAAACAAGGAATGAATAGTAGTTACGTGTTTCTTGCATTTTTCCTATATCTGCTTGAGGTCAGCAATTAGCCTTCAACAGGTAAAATAACCAATCCTCAAAGAGTGGTGACTTATGCAAATTTAGAGGTTGCACCTGACAAGGATACCACAGGTAAAATACATGGATTTCAAAACTTCAGATTTCTTACACCTAGCAAATAAAGCTCATTGAATGGGGCCAATTTCACGCCCTAGGTTCCCTGCTATGACTTCTGAGTTGCTGCTTGGAGGCCCCAGGACTTTTGTTCCAGGCCTTCCTTGTAGGACTTACACTGTTACTGGTTCAAATTCTTTGAATCAGTTACTAACACAAATTACTACTACAAGCTTGCACTGCAAATACATACTCCCACTATGTGATAAAAAGAGGCTGCACTTAGGAATAATTTAATATATGCTTTGTAAACCACTCCCTCACAAAGTGATTTTCCCCCTGCATTCCTATTTCACCAGGTTGTTGAGGTTTATTGCACTGATGCATGCAAAAGTGTCTGGCACCTCGGTGTTACCTGGAATGCTGATGTCTGGGTCCAAGTGGCAGCTGGCCATCTGGAGCTTCATATGGCTCTTCTACCTCATACACGTTTGCATCAGTGTCCTCCATGCTGCTGGAATTCTGCCATTCCAACTCTGGAGTTTTCCCTCCAGCCATAATAAATGGCAAGTTCTCATACTCTGGTATTTCCTCATAATGGCGTATATTTTCATACTCTGGGGCACAGATGCTTGTAACAGACTTGCAAGGTGCCTGAGGTGACAACTCCCTCTCCCTAGAGAGCATTTGGTCATCCAAAGACTCAGTTCTCAGACCATTAGCCGCACTGGCCTGGGCCCGAGACTTCTTCCTCTTTTTTTGAGATTCTAGGCTGGAGTTATCTGCAGAATATGCCTTGATAGGTTTACTTCTCTTCCCTTCTCCTACCAAGAAGCCATGCCAATCACCTTCAATCCCTTTCCGTTCCCTATAGGAGAGGTTGCCTGCGGTTGTGTCTCCAAGTTGGCTACTCCTGGACCACAATTTCTGAAAGTCACTCTTCATGAAACAGATGGACAGTTTCATGTTGAGCAACTTTTTAAAAGAGTTTTTCTTTGTAGAGTCCTTGCAAGGTTTAGTGCACCTTTCCATATCCACAGCAGATAATGATTTTGCTCTAGGCTTGGTTAGGCCAGTTGAAGGCTCATTATTTGAGGATATGGTGACAGATTTCAAGGATTCTGGATTCCCTGAAAAGGGTAAAATAGGATGAGGTAATTTCCACACAGGCTTTTCTGAAGCCTGTTTAGGCACATCAAAGGAGGATGACACACCAGGGTTCTGGGCACACAAATGCTGAAGATGATTTCTTTCTAGACCTCTCTCTGAATTTCTTTCTTCATTTGAGGGATAAGAACTTTTCTCCACAAGCTCCTCAGATGCGGCCTTTTTAAGCACTCCTGCAGCAGGCAAGCTGTGTCTTTGAGGTTTTTTGGGGACAATTCTTGAGGAACTTTCCTCTTTTATTATAGATTCCTTTTGCATTTGAGGGGCAGAAACTCCCAAGTTACAGGAAGTAGGCAAATGTTCATTGCAATTTAATTTGAGCTGCTTAGGCAGGCTCATAGATAGAGTACTGCATCTTAGAAAACTGGTCCCTTTGTCCAGAGCAAGTGACATAGTAGAACCATCTATTGTAGTGCTGTCAGAAATCAAATTAGAGTCTAATGAAGGAGTCATTTTTTCAAAGGAAGATGTTTCCTGATCCAGGGCTTTGTGTGAACTGACTAAGTCCTGTCTGTCACGGTTGGAATCCATATTTAATTCACTTTTATTTCCTGGATTCATTTTGTCCACCTGTTCTTGGTTACATAAAACATTCTGATGAAGAACATTGATTTCATTGTTTTTCAAACTATCTTCGATAAGACAAGAGCTACTGTTTGAATTTTCTGGGTCTTCAGTACTTTCACTAGGAGTATCTACATACTTTTGGCGTAATAGACAAGCAGCACGTGTCTTTCTGGGCTTGGGAGTTGGAAATTTGGGGGTACATGGTACTAACTGAATTTCTAAGGGGCCAAGGTCTTTGACTTCTGATTTTTTACTAATTTCATCTGAAGATATAAAAGTACTCCTTTTACCATTTTCTAGAGCTTCTAGTTTGGATGAATGAAAGTAATTATTGCTTTTTCCACTGCCATCCTGACAAGTTTCAAATTTTTGAAATTCATCACTAGGAGGCTGTAAGTGGCAACTGTGATGATCAGGAACGTTTTTGAAGCTGGACGGGGAAGGTGACAAATCTGAAAATTCAATTCTCAATTGTCTGTTTGAATTACAGCCACCATTCATTTCTGGGTTGTCTGCAGACCTGTGCTTCTTTGAGGAAATAAAAGGTGACGTTCGGTGTGTTAAGACATCTTTGAGCTTCTCTTCTAGGATGCTTGCCTTTAAAACTACTTTAGTCTGGTTCTTGACCTTTTCACCATGAGAATCATATTTACTCATAGTTTTTATAGTCAAAGACTCATCAATTTTACTGTTTTCTAAATTTTCATTCATTTCCAGGGGCTCTAAAACAAGCTGCTTTACATATAAATTCTCTCTATTTCCAGGCTTATGTATACACTCAGAACTGCAGGAACACACTGGTAAAGTACAATCACTATTCTCATCCCCTATATTTTTGCAATTAAAGTTGTCAGTGCTTTCAGGTAATTCTTGTTTAAGCTCTTCCAGGTTTGAAGAAATTTTCCTTGATGGTGACTGCCCAACGTCTCGAACAGAACTCTTCAGAACTTTTGGTTTGGGAGCAATAGCCGGTTTGGCTTTCCTTGTTGACTGTGGAACACTAGAAATCACAATGTCAGGTTTAGGTGCAACAGGAGGTGGAGCTGGCTTATTATTTGCCACAGCAAACTTGGGCTTGGGGGCCACCGGTGGCTTTTTAATCTCTAGAAAGGAAAAAAGAATAATTTGATGTTAAAATAACCAAAGATGATACATGATTAAATTTGATAACATTTTTACTTTTAACAATATCAATTTATATCTTACTTACAATCTACTAGGTAGATTATATTGCATTATATGGACTCAATAGTACTCTTGAAAATTCCTTAAATTCTCTTTCAATTCCAGTACACACAGCTTTGAGTATTTTGTACATGTTGAAATACATCCAATATAGCTTTTCCACCAACTTTGGAACAGGTTACCATATCTTTAGTTGACAATAAATGAAATAACTGACTTTTGCTTGGGACCCATATAGTGTTCTTCAGTTTATTTGCTGAGTGCTGAGAGTTGAATTTGCCTAAGTTAAAAGTAGGCTACAACTCCTTAAGCTTCTCATATGAATAAGCAGTCATATTCTTCTACCTCAGTGATAATATAATAAAGTTGCATAGATGCCTTTTATCAATGATCTGTCCAATTCAATACATAGAACCCCAAAGGAATACAGAAATCAGAAATTTTCCAAACTTAAAAACTGAAAATTAATTCTTTGGTATCATTTTAGGGTCATAATAAAGCTGATATTTCTCTGTGCAATCAATTGGGAATTTTCATTATATTCCTTCAAGGAGCTTTATTTTTTAAAAAGTCACATGTCTAGGCCCTACTTCAGATCTAACCAATCAGAGTCTCTGGGAATAGATCCTGGACATCTGTATTTCTTTTAAGTTCCATAGGTGATTATGTTGTTTAGTCTTCATTATTAACCACTGTGCTAGTGCATTTAAAAATGACCACAATTGCTAGTGTAGCAACTCTTCCTTGACAATATATATGAAGTATTTAATTAACATCTATTATATCATGCTTGATTTGTACAGACTTGCTTCTAGCCTATAGGAACCTAATAAAAGCTTTACACAAAAAGGCTTGGTGATGTGACTCATGCCTATAATTTTAGTACTTTGGGAAACCGAGGCAGGAGTATTGCTTAAGGCCAGGAGTTTGAGACCAGCCTAGGCAATAGTCCCCATCTCTACAAAAAATTGAAAAAAATGTGCAGGGCATGGTGGCATATGGCTATAGTTCTAGCTACTCCGGAGGCTGAGGCAGGAGAATTGCTTGAACCCAGGAGTTTAAGGCTGCAGTGAGCTATGATTGAGCCATAGCACTCCAGCCCCCAGCCCAGGCAGCAAAGTGGTGAGACTCAATCTCTCAATGTCAAAAAAAAAAAAAAAAAAAAAGCTTTACACAATAGATCTGCAAAATGAAAAGACATATAGAGTCTGTATGTCTGTATTACTTTAAAGTTCTTTTAACTTTTTTTTTTTTTTTTTTTTTTTTTTTGAGACAGAGTCTCGCTTTGTTGCCCAGGCTAGAGTGAGAGTGAGTGCCGTGGCGTCAGCCTCGCTCACAGCAACCTCAAACTCCTGGGCTCGAGTGATCCTTCTGCCTCAGCCTCCCGAGTAGCTGGGACTACAGGCATGCGCCACCATGCCCGGCTAATTTTTTATATATATATCAGTTGGCCAATTAATTTCTTTCTATTTATAGTAGAGACGGGGTCTCGCTCTTGCTCAGGCTGGTTTTGAACTCCTGACCTTGAGCAATCCGCCCACCTCGGCCTCCCAAGAGCTAGGATTACAGGCGTGAGCCACAGCGCCCGGCCACTTTAAAGTTCTTTTAACTTCTACCTACACTGTCACTTATTATGCACATTTCCCCAAAGAGACTTTAGGTAAAAAGTGTGTTACCCTATACTTCTTATATTTGTTCATTCAACAGAATCTAAAACTTAATAAAACTTTAATTTATTGAAAAAAAATCTTTTCAAAATATCTGCAGGACTGCTAGATATTGTTTAATTAATTACTTGAATACACAGAGGCTTTGATATTTCATTTGGAGATGATTTTCTTTTCAACAAAAGAAATTAGTCACAACACTTGGGAAGATATTATATGGAACTGAGTAAAAAAAAAAAAAAAACTAGTAGGGTGCACCACTTCCTTTTACCAGCTAAGGAAGAATTTCCCAAACCCCTAATACTATGTGTACAACAAAAATTATATGATAATAGATGTCTTCACACTCCATTTCTAGGTATAATGTTATCAGAAATAAAGAAGATAATGAATTATTTTTCAAAATAACTTAATACAAATTTCTAAAGCTATACAATTTCAATTAGCTGTTCAATAAGTATACTATTAGTTTAGGTTGATTTTTTTTTAAGGTAGAAACTAACTGTAAAATCTTTCAAAGCCTAGTGATACAGCTTGCTGTGATGGACTGTTCTTCATCTATTAAGTCAAGTCTTAAGAGAAAGTATGAATGCCTTAAGCTTCTTCCCAACCTCCCATCTAACTAAATAAAAACTGACAGACTGTCATGTTGATTTCATTTCTGTAACCATTCTCAAAACATCCTACCTCTGGGATTTTCACAATAATGTTTTTATTTTTTATTTTTTTTACTTTTTTTTTTGAGACAGAGTCTCACTCTGTTGCCCTGGCTAGATGGCCATGGTGTCAGCCTAGCTCACGGCAACCTCAAACTCCTGGGCTCAAGCAATCCTTGTGCCTCAGCCTCCCAAGTAGCTGGGACTACAGGCATGTGCCTGGCTAATTTTTTCTATATATTTTTAGTTGGTCAATTAATTTCTTTCTCTTTTTAGTAGAGACGGGGGTCTCTTGCTCTTGCTCAGGTTGGTTTCGAGAACTGCTGACCTTGAGCGATCCTTCCGCCTCGGCCTCCCAGAGTGCTAAGATTACAGGTGTGAGCCACTGTGCCAGCCCGACTGTTTTAAAAAATTAGTTTTGCAAGACAAAAAGAGTTCTGGAGATTGGCTGTGTAACATGAATATACTTAACACTTCTGAACTGTATACTTAAAAATAGTTAAGATCATAAATTTCCATTATGTGTATTTTATCACAATTTAAAAAAAACTTCACCTTATCAAATTAATCTTTTACTTTCTGGGTCTTAGAGCCTTGTCAGAAGCTTCAGAGCTGTTAAGCCAATTCATTTTTGCTTTTTAGTTAAATATTTTTTTTCCCCAGGTACCGATTTTACTCTTTTCTTTAAATGTGCTTTGTATCTGAATCTGCTTCCAAGAGACATAAATTCCTGTTCTCTCTCAGTGTCATAGGAATTCAATTAGCTACCTATGAGCTGGGGTTGATGCCCAATAAATATGGCACAGTATTGTGTACCTAAAGCTTTCAACATATACTCAGGGAATTCAATAAATAACTGTGAACTTCAGCTTGCCATTGTTAGTTAACTGTGTATTGGAGGAAGCCAATAATGTAACTTGGGGAGCTAGCTAACTTAACTGTGTGTCTTGTGCAGACCCAGACCTGGCTGCCTCACTTTCCTTACTTGCAAATGAGGGAGTTGAACAGATCTCTAAAGCCCATATGAATCTAAAACTATAACTTCTGAGATAATTGCTTCAAGAGAACCCCTGATATGCTATAGTTTCTTTCTCCTCTGTTTCTCTTCAGCGCACCTTTGTCTTCATCTCTGGAAGACAAGCTCAGGAGGGCAGGAACTTTGTCTCATTCACTGCTGTGTTCCAGGACTGAAAACAAGCCCTGGGAATAATCAGAGCTGCCACATACACATACTCTTTAATAAGTCTCAGAAACAGAAAATTTCTTTTAAAAAAAAAATCAATATCCATTTTAATGTAGAATAATATTTTGAAAAGTGAGCAGGAATCAACTTCAATAGGATTATTGAATAATTCCTTAATTATTAATAGGGACAAGTATTCAACTTAGTCACTGTTATAGCAATATCCAAAATCCTTCATTATTGTTATTATTTTTAATGGCTCTATTTTGAAAGAAACACAACTCAAAAAATAATAAGCCATTATATTATAGTCTGCTCCAATGTCAAACTCTTGAAGTAAGTGGATGATGTTTGGCAATGAATCCAGCACCTTTGGATCTTAATACTGTATCAACAGTCAGACCGAAAGCTTCCTAGAGCAAAGCGGCAAATCTTTTATTTACACAGCTGTTTGGCTCCAGGGAAATATAAGGTAAGAAAGTAAAGCACTAGTAACCATTTTACTAACTATTACAAACATACTTGTCATCTGTTACACACAGATGGCTGTGGTTCACATGTACAATTCTCTTGGCTATTGGACCAGCCAAAAAGCAAAGCACAGACATTAATGAGACAGTGACCTGTACGTGTTCAAAAACATACAAAATATTCACCTATAATTCTCTCACCTTTTTCATATACTACTTAGATTAATTCTAAAATCTCTACTAAGGATCCACTCTGTCACAGATGCAGAAAAACAAAGCAAGCTTTTCTTCAGGATACATACAACTTAGATATTCTACAACATTCCACTTATTTTTTTAAATTAAACCAACCCTCCCAAATATCACAAATTAGATTAGAAACAAACATCCCCTCCCCAAGTTGCAAATAACTTTCCTAAAGGTTTTAATGAATTTGACTAATGCTGGAAAAAGGCACGATAATCAGCTTGTAAGAACTACATATACATCATTTTATAAGAATGGGGTGGAAATAAAACCCAGTTCTCTTCCATAGTCCTGATTTAGACACAAGAAAGAATTATAATAAATCTTAACAGATGGGTGACCAAAAAAGTAGTTAATACTTCTCAGCAAGCCATGCTAAAAACCAACTTACTCAGCTAGACACAGGAAATGTCCCTCTTTTAAGCACCACAAAAATGTCTGTGGACTTCTTTAATTATAAAGTTTATAAAATATAAAAACAACTTATTATTCTACAGTAATTCAAATGAAAGAATGATAAACTTCCAGATTGGGCCCTAGAAATTAACTTTATATACATAAATGTTAAATGCTTCTGCACTTGTTTATTATAAATTGTTAGGACTGGAATTGAAAACTGATACATATAAGATACGAAGATTTTAAATACATTTGTGTAAAAAAGAGAAGGATGGAAATAATTTACCTTATGTAGGTAGAAACTCTCCCTTTGCTAAAGAAAAGAGAGTTTATAAAGACTATAACTGCAACAGTGTATGATGACATATCCCATATACCTACTTATAACATCAAAAGGGAACATCCACGACATCTTCTACAGGAAAACTTTACTCCTTGCTTTCTTTTTCTATTGGCTAACTTCTTGTTTCCTTAGTTGTAGTCTGATTACATCTAGCAATGCAACATTACAATATATCTAAGCTTTAGAAATAATACAAATCAGAACATTTGGAGTGCTGTTTGACAGTTTCAAGTTGCAGGAATTTTAAACGAATGCCAAGAAAAGCAATGAAAATTTAATCTGATACTTAAGTGTTGATTCTAGAAGTAACTTTGAAGGAAAGCTTTAAACTATCATACTACAAAATTTCTAATGAAAGTTTATTTCAACGTGGACAAAAAGTGTTAAGAAAAAGCCCTTAATATTTTACTTAACACGGTATTAAGTTCTGGTTTAAGAATTAAACTATGATTTTATGAAGTGAATGTAACACTAGCAATTATTTTGAAATTTAAGAACTGTTCCTTAAGAATGTTCAGAAATACAATGTCCAGAATTGCTCGAAATCCACACAAAGGTAAATACAGGCTTTGTCATCTGGATGAGGGGGAAAGGACTATGGGAGGCAGACAGAAAATAAGGCCTCGTTTACACTAACCAGGTAGAAATAGAAAAAAATAATAATAATAATCCATAAGAAATTGGGTGAGGATGAGCAAAACAATTGCCATGAGCAATCCTCCTCAGGTAACAGGAGTAAAACGACCAGAACAAGAGTAACAATGTCTAAGCCTCTGTCTCTAATAAGGGTGAGGGGTTTCCAGCCGACACTAGGCTTAAAGCGACTCGGCACAGTCCCCGAGTGCAGTATCCTGGGAACACTGCCCTTTCCTAGAATAACCGATTTCTCAACATGGGAAGCCACACTGTTAGCGCACGCAAAGGCGAAGTCGTTCCAACTACTGAAGACTTGAGCAAGTGCCCTCTTCACATTCTGCGTCTCACCAGGCGCAAACCGAGCTCCCCGGACGGGCCTCCCTTTGAAGGGGGGGGTCCCCAAGAGATCCACGATTTCCAAACAGCCCCTCTCGGCAGGAAGGGACGAGAAACCCGGCAACGAACGGCCCGGGCTGCGCACTTGCGGACGTGCTCGGGAAAGGTGGAGAGCACGCAACTCGCCCACCGCAGCGGGGCAAGTTGCTCGGGAGCCCACGACTCGGAGCGCTCGCCACAAACTTTCCAGCGGCAGCGCGAGCGCCGTCACTTACCCGCGGCCGAAGTCATGATTCCCCGCGCAGCTCGCCTGCCCGCTCGCGCCCCTCAATCCATGTTCCCCTCTCAGACCATTGTTTCCAGAGTTTGGGCAGAAGAGAAAAGCCCCCACAGCGCCCGCATTCCGTCCCGCCACCCCGCTGCGCAGCCCGAGCGCCGCACAAAGGATGCGGCCAGCTCCAGCGACCCTGCGGCGCTCCCGGGCGCTAGCCGCCAGCGGCTGGCGGGCGGGCGAGCACGAGCGCCGCCCCGCCGAGCTCCGGGCGGACTGCCAGGCGCGGGCACGAGCAGTGCTCACCGCGGCTCCGCCGGCGCGTGCCCCTCTTCAGCGCCAAAAAAAAAAAAGATCAGTGCTCCTGGCGCCCCCTGCTTGTCGCGGCTGTAAAAGTCAGACAAAAGCGCTAGCCTTCACCAATCGGAGGGCTCCAGCTTCATTCCGTTCCCGCCCCTCCTGCTCACTCGCTCATCCTCTGCTCCAATAAGCGGGCCCCTGGAAAAGGGGCGTGAGCGGCGAGGCATGCTGGGAATTGTAGTTTCCTAGATCCACAGGACGGGCAGAAGCCGAAGTATCTGTGCAGCCTGTTCTCCCGCCTTCATTTCCCATCGTGGTGAGGCGGGTGGCATGGCGGAGAAGGATGACACCGGAGTTTGACGAAGAGGTGGTTTTTGAGGTAAGTGGAAAATGGCGGTGGGTGTGTATTGCCTTTGTTGGAGAAGGTCGAGAGGTAAAGCGAGGAGGCGAGGCGATCCCGGGGCGAGAAATCGGGTGACGCGCTCCTGTTGGCCTGGACCACCGAAACCCCGCGATTTAGGGGCCTAGTGTCGGCCGCAGCCTGACAGGTGTAGGGTGAGGCGCTTTGGCCGTGGCTGGCTTCTGCCTCAGGCCCGCCCTGAATTCCCAGCCCGGGCCGGGTTGCCAGGCCCATGGGCGGGAGCCCTGTCTGTTCTTTCCCCGGGGAATGGATGCGCCGTTGGGGGGAGTGCGCCTGGCTGGGCGGGGCCGAATCGTGCATTTTAGACACTCACAACTTAGCCGCCTCCTTTTTCATTCTGGATTTTTTGGGTCAGTATCCAGAAGTGCCTCAGGTCACCGTTCACAGTCAAGGCGTGGCCCTCGGAATGAAAGGAAGCAGGTGCCAGTATTCTAACACCGTTTAAAGTCTGTGTGTGTGGGACCTACTGTCCCTGGTTAGAACCGGAGCATCTCTGCATCTAGATTCGATTCTTTTGTCCTTTGCTATTGCGCTAGGTATAGCCAGTTTTCTGACTCAAAGCTCTGGAGTTGAGTGCTTTTGTTTGGGGCTGTTTTAAGACATCCTCTGCCATCTTGAATGAAAAAAATCAGACGAGTATTTTTGGTGCCATTTTTCTATCAGACACGGGTCAAAGCTCACACCCCTGCAGATCCGCTTTGCTTTTGATCATCCAACTAGATTTTAAGAAATTCTTAAAAAAGAAGTGGCCGGTGCCTTGCAACGGGAGAGCGAGGCGCTGACAGTACAATGTTAAATATTGAAATATTGTACAAACTGTCATTGGAGGATGAATTTGAAAATGGCCATCTCTTCTCGCAGTCTCCGAGAGGCTACACCTAGTAAGTGATATCCAAGGTGAATCTTGAACTATGAATCGAATTAGAAAGACCGAAAGGAAAAATGTATTACATAGAAGGGGAACTGAGTATGCCAAGGTTGGGAGGTATGAAAGTAGGGGCTTGGGTGTGGTGGAGGGCTGCTATATAAAGTGGTTTGATGTGGCTACAATGTAGTGGGAAATGTGACCATTTTACCGAAATGAAGAGTCTAGATGTGGGTTCATTAGGGAAGACAAGGGCCTGAATTTGGAAATGAGAGAAGGAATAATGGAATAAAAGCTTGGATGGACATTTCTAAGTTAAAATCGAAGTAACAGTTACAGATGTGAGAATCTGTATTGAATTGAATGTGAGAATTGAAGGAGAGAGAAATCTAGGATGCTTAGATTTCTAGGTGAGGAAAACTGAATGGATGTATTTTTTTTACCCCATTATTTTCTTCGATTTCTGAATATAATAGTAATACATGCTCAAAGAATATTTTACTGTAGAAAATAAGCCAAAAAATGAAAATCGTCCATTATCCCACCACCCAAAGATGGCTACTATTAACTGTATAGTATGTATTCTTACAGACTTTTTTTTTTTCCTGTGCAAATGAGTTTCTGTGTGTGTAATATTTTTTTAACACAAAAGGTATACCACATAGAATTTTGTATATATTTTTCACTTGAATTTATGATTAATCTTTTCACATTCATCATTCTTTGAAAAAATTATTAATAATATCTCATCATGTACATGTATCATAATGTAACCATTTTCACATTATTGGATAGGTACATTGTTTCAAAATACTCACCATTGTAATCAATACTGATATAAGTCTATGTTTAACTGCAACTCTGATTTTCCTTAGAATAATTTCTAGAACTAGTGGGTCAAAGAATATGAACATTTAAGACTTAATATAGAAAGATTGTGCCAGTTCTCATTACCATTAAGAGTAAGAGGGTATTAGTTTTACCAAATCCTCATCAACAGCCTGATTAGTTTCCTTTAAGCTCTATTAATTTGATGAGAAAAAATAGCATCCCATTGTTTTAATTTACATTTGGTATGTTTATACATTTATTGGCCATTTTAATTTTTTTGAACATTTCTCTCCATATTTTTTTGCCAATTTCTCTATTAGATGCTAGCTTTTTAAAAATTGATTTGCATGAGTTCTTCATATATCACTAAACCTTTGCCATATTTGTAGAAAATTTTTTCCAGTTTCTCTTTTAATTTATTTGCTTTTTGTTATACATGTTAACTTTTATTACAGTGTTTACATAAAGAAAGTACACAAATCACAGCTGTGCAGACTGACATATTTTTGTATGTTGAGTACACTCATGTAACTAGCACCCATATCAAGAAACAGAATATCACCAGCATACCAGAAGCTCCCTCTTGGTCCTTTTCAGTCATTAGTCCTCACCCTAAAGGTAACCACTGTTGAGACTTATAATAGCTACCATTGATTAGTATTGTCTATTTTTATTGTTTATACCATGTGTAATTTCATTTATATGCTCTTTTGTATCTCACTTTTTTTGCTCCCTGGCTTTGTTTGTGAGATTCATCCATATTGTTACATGAAAATTTTTAATTTCCGCATAGTATTCCATGTGAATATATGATCATTGTTTTAAACCATTTTTTATTGATGGTTGTTGAATAGTTTCCAGCTTTAAACTACTAGTGCTACATAGTGAACCTTTTATTATGTATTTTGTTAAACATATTTCTAATGGTTAAATACTTAGGAGAGGAATTGCTGGATCATAGGAAATATTCACCTTCAATAGATACTGCCAAACATTATTCCAAAATGGTTGTACCAGTTTATACTGACAGGAGTGTATGAGAGGTCCCATTGCTATAGATCCTCACTATAAATTACCAACATTTGCTAATTTCAGTCTTTTTCTTTTATCATTCTGGTGGCTATGTCCTGCTCTCTCCTTGTGGTTTTAATTTGTATTTCACTGATAAGGAAGTTAAGACTTTTAATGTATTTATTGATCAGTTGTATATCCAGTTTTGTGAAGCCACTTCAAGGTTCTTGCATATTTTTCTGAGATTGTCTCTTTTTCTTTCTGATTTAAAAGAATTCTTTACATACTCTTGATATAAGTCCTTTGGTAGATATATAGTTGGCCTTCCATATCCATGGGTTCCATATGCACAGGTTCAACCAATTCATCAAAAATATTAAAAAAAAAAAAAAAGCTGTAGGGATCAGGGTTGTGGAAGCTGGGCAGCTATCACCTATAATCCCAGCTACTCAGGAGGCTGAGGTGGGAGGATTGCTTGAAGCCAGGAATTCAAGACCAAACTGGATAACATAGCTAGACCCCTGAGTCTAAAATAATGAAAACAAAATTAGCTGGGTGTGGTGGCACATGTCTATAGTCCCAGCTCCTTGGAAGGTGGAGGTAGGAGGATCCCTTGAGCCTAGGAGCTATGATCATGCCACTGCACTCCAGCCTAGGTGACAGAGTATTTGTAAATAGTTGTTATATTGTGTAGCTTTTTAATTTATATTATTTTTTGTTTTTATTGTTATCTTTTATTTTATTATTTTTTTTAAAAGACGAGGTCTCATTTTGTCACCCAGGTAGAGTGCAGTGGCATCATCATAGCTCACTGTAACCTCAAAACTCTTGAGCTCAAGCAATCCTCCTGCCTCAGCCTCCCAAGTAGCTGGGATTACAAGCACAAGCCACAATGTCCAGCTAATTTTTCTATTTTTAGTAGAGACAGGTCTTGCTCTTGCTTAGGCTGGTCTCAAACTCCTGAGCTCAAGTGATCCTCCCCCTGCCTCCATGTCCCATAGTGCTAGGATTACAGGTGTCAGCCACCAGCCAATATTTTCTTTACAAGCTTTATTTGACCTTTTGCATTTAGATCTGCCATCCATCTGGTACTGATTTTTGTATGATATCAAGTAAAGATCAACATATTTTTTTCACATGTGGATGTCCAGTTGACCTAACACCATTTACTAACAGCATTACCTAACACCATTTACTAACACCATTTTCTAAACAGACCATTTTTTCCCCACTGAACTGTAGCATTACCTTTGTCATGAATCAGGCTACCTTACATGTGTAGATTTGTTTCTGGACTCTTTTCCATTTGACATTTTGTTATTCTTGTGCCACATTATTTTAATTGGTGGTTTAAAATGTGGTTTAAAAACCACATTCTTTTAATTATGGTAACTTTATAATACATATTAATATCTGATAGTATAAAACTCTCCAGTTTTATTTTTCTTCAAGATTGCCTTTGGCTGTTCTTGGCCCACTGTATTTCTATATGAATTTTAGAATCAGCCTGTTAATTTCAGTTGAAAAAAAACCTACCGAGATTTTGATTAAGATTGCTTTGAATCTATAGATTAGTTCAGGGAAACTTAACATGTTTACAATATTGAATCTTCTAATCCATGAACATTTATTGCTTGCCTTCTAAATGAGTCAGGCAGCCTCCCACCTCATTTCTGTGCTTTAGGACTGATTTTACAAAATGGAAATTATCTATTCCATGAAGGTATAGCTAAATTGGCCTTTAAATGATCTAGGCCTTTCCTGGGGAAAAGAAGTAGATGTTGTCTGTCTGTTCAATT